CGCACCAACGCCAGCAGAACCACCAGCGCCAACACCCCCAGCAGCTCCAGCTCCAGCAACTCCAGCAGCACCAACTCCAGCAGGACCGGCAGCTCCAGTACCGCCAGCAGCCCCACCAGTACCTCCAACAGGACCAACTCTAGTAGCCCCAGCAGCACCCCCAGTCCCAGAAGCTCTAGTACTGCCAGTATGAGCACCTCCGGGACCAGCAGCAACGGTAGTACCTTTAGCTCCAGCAGCACGGCTCCAGCGCCGGGCAAACCACTCGCGCAGCTCCAACGGAGAGAGAAGCTCCCGCCTCGACGAAGCACCGCGAGAGGCCACACGAGCAGACCTAGCACCCCCAGGCTCCGCACCCCCAGGCTCACCACCCCCAGGCTCAGCACCCCCAGACTCAGCACCCCCAGGCTCAGCACCCCCAGACTCAGCACCCCTAGGCTCCGCACCCCTGGACTCAGCACCCCCAGGCTCCGCACTCCCAGGATCAGCACCTCCAGACCCAACACCCGCACGCTGAGCACCTTGAGCAGCACCAGAGTCAACAGCTACCTCGACAGGCTCGACTGCGTCTACGTGGGACACACCTGACGAGGCAGGACCCTCAGGGGGGAGGGGGTCCACCGGGGGAGGACCTGGCACAAGGAAGAGCGGCGGCGGGGGAAGGGGCGCAGTGCGGTAGGGAAAGAGACGGTAGTAAGGCACCGACTCGTAAAAGGTGACGTCCTGGGAGGACAGAACATGGCGCGAGGTGGGGTGGTAAAACTGCCACCCAGGCGTGTCAGGGGGGAAGCCAAGGAAGACGCAGGGAACAGCACGGGGGGACAGCTTGTCCGCAGACAAGTCGCGGACAAACGCCTGAGATCCCCAGACCCGAAACGCAGACGCATCGCCAACCTTCCCCGTCCACCGCAAGGTGGGGGAGGTCTCTGGCAAGGAGACCCGAGGCTGAAGGTTGAGCTGATGCGCTGCGTACTGAATTGCAAACGGCCATAGAAAATGAGGGGCATCCGCATGGATCATGGACGCACGAGCGACGTCCATGACACTGCCAATGCGGCGCTCAGCAATCCCATTTTGCTGTGGAGAGGCCGGAAGCGTGAAGGTCTGGCGGATGCCCTGTGCACGACAGAAGGCTCCCAGACGAGCAGAGGAAAACTCCCCGCCTCTCTCAGAGTGCAGACGCAGAACAGGAAAGTCCGAGCCGAAACTCTCTCTGAGCTGGAGATGAGCTGCGCGGATCCAGTCGATCAACACCTCAGTGACGTCACCCTTGCTGCGCAAGGGGAACACCGTGGTGTAACGCGAGTAGTCGTCAACCACCAACAGGAAGTAACGCTCGTGACCCTGGCCACGGACGCGGGCGGGGCCCCACACGTCCATGTGAAGAGTCTGCAGCGGAGCCTCTGTCAGAGGAAACTCGGAGGAGTGAGGGGCGGCGCGCTATCGCCCCTCGACGCAGGGGACGCAGGTAGGGGCAGGCCCCGGAGGTAGGGGAGGTAGGGACCGGGGGAGACCAGAGACAAGGGCCATGCCTCGAAGACGAGGCAGGGAGGGGTGACCAAGGCGTTGGTGCCAGAGGAGAGTCTGGTGGGACAGGAGACGACACGAGCAGGGCGCAGACTCAGGATCAGACCTGGACGCTGCAGAAAACACCTGACTCGACTCAGCTACCTGACTAGACGCAGTAACCGGAGGAGGCTCACTAGTCAGTGTGTACAGGCTCGACCCCGGCCGACGGGTAAACGTGGCCAAGTGCCGGCCCGTCCGAGCACACGTGCAGTGGGTCACCCGCTGACTCGCAGGAGTGAACTGGTCAACCCCCTTATCCTGCAGATCAGCTCCACTCACCAATTTCGTAGAGAACGAGGGGAGGTAGAGACCTGACAGGGTGCCAGAGGGGGCTGCCGGGCACGGTAAGACAGTGGAGAAGCGAGCAAGGACAGGACCCCCAGAGGGGTCCGCCAGAGAGACCGCAACTGGCCGACTAAGCGGCGTAAGCGTGGTGCGGTCTCGAAAGAAGGAGCGGGAAGCACCCAAGTCAAGGGTGAAGGTGTGTAAGGCCTGAGCCGACGTGGTACCTGAGCTGCTCGCTGTCCCCCGTGCTTCTGACGGTGCCCCACCCCTGCTGATGCCCGTTCTCCTGAATTAGGGTTTAAGGGGGGTACCGTGGGAGTGGAGCTAGGGCTTGAGCAGGGGGTGTGTGAGAGGGGCGTGGGGCAGCTGGAGGAGGTTGTGTTGAGGTAGCGGTCGTGTCGCCTGCAGCGCCTGTAGTCCGTCGCCCTTGCTTCGGTAGCCAGTGAGCCTGTTGCACCAGTCGCCAGTGGGTCCGTTGCTCCTGCCGCTCGTCTATAGCCGCGGAGCCAGTTACTCCAGTAGTCCGTCGCCCTTGCTTCGGTAGCCACTAAGTCAGCCGCTCCTGTGCCCGTGCCTCTGCAGCTTCAGACATTGCCTCCCATCTTCTCTCCTTCCACAGTTCCTCCTCCTCCTCACTTGCCCTCTGCGACTGCCTCTAGCTTTACTTGTGCATGTGAACCTGCTCTAGGACTCCTTGCTCTGCTGATTATACCCCACTTAGACTATGGGGGTGTGTCAGAATGTTATTGTTCTCTAGCCTGCAGTGGGGTACTCTATAGCGAGTACAACCCCTTAGGGTTTCCTATATGTATCCTGCCGCTTTCTAGTGAACCTCCTCCTTTGCTTATTCTCTCTTGCCTAGCTAGGGCTTACCTAGCTATGGCACCTATCTATACCTACTATTCTCACAGAAAACTCTCCACCTCTGTCAAAGTGCAGACGCAGAATAGGAAGGTCCGAGCCGAAACTCTCGCTGAGCTGACGACGGGCAGCGCGGATCCAGTCGATCAGCACCTCAGTGTTCTCACCCTTGCGGCGCAAGGGGAAGACTGTGGTGTAACGCGAGTAGTCGTCAACGACCAGCAGAAAGTAGCGCTCGTGACCCTGTCCACGGACGTGGGCTGGGCCCCACACGTCCATGTGAAGCGTCTGCAGGGGAGCCTCCATCGGAGGGAACTCAGAGGAGTGAGGAGCAGCGCGCTGCCGCCCCTCGACGCAAGGAACGCAGGTAGGGACAGGCCCCGGGGGAAGGGGAGGGAGAGACCGGGGAAGACTAGAGACAAGCACATGGGAGGCCATGCCTCGGAGACGAGGCAGGGAGGGGTGACCAAGGCAGTGGTGCCAGAGGAGAGTCAGGTGAGAAAGGAGGCGACACGAGCAGGGGGCAGACTTAGGACCAGATCGGGATGCTGCAGCAAACACCTAACCCGACGCGGCTACCTGAACAGACTCAGCAACCGGAGGAGACACGGTAGTCAGGGTGTACAGGCTCGACCCAGGCTGACGGGTGAACGTGGCCAGGTGCCGGCCCGTCCGAGTACATGAACAGTGGGTCACCCGCTGACCTCCAGGAGTGAACTGGTCAACCCACGCGTCCTGAAGGTCAGCTCCTCTCAACAAGTTCGTGGAGAACGAGGGGAGGTGGAGGCCAGACAGAGAGCCAGACGGGACTGCCGGACACGGCAGGACCGGGGAGGAGTGTGCAAGGACTGGACCCCAAGAGGGGTCAGCCAGAGAGACTGCCACTGGCCAACTGAGAGTGTGGTGCAGTCGCGAAAGAAGGAGCGGGAAGCACCCGAGTCAAGGGTGAAAGTGTGCAAGGCCGCAGCATGCGCAGTACGAGAGAGAGCAGACTCACCAGCACCTGGGGCAGCAGACTCACCAGCACCTGGAGCAGCAGACTCACTAGCACCTAGAGCAGTAGCCTCAATGCCCGGGTTGGGCGGAACACACAGGTAATAGTCACCCCCAGCACTAATACACACAGCATACATAGCAGCAAGGATAGCATCATAATCAAGATCAAAAATAGCAACCCTCGACTTAAGCAGATCACCCCAGCGTGGGGTCTCTGTGGAGTCAGGAAACTGTGCACGCCAGGCGTAAGTCAGGCGTCCAAAACAGAGCTGCGTGGCGTGCGGCCCTCCGTGTCAAACTTATATCATATAGCTTGTCTAGGCTATAGTGGCGTAGACACTATGGGGTACAATTGCCTAGGGTTTCCTACTTGTACCCAACCTTGTGCTAGTTCATTCATTCCTCATTTCTTATCATGGTATCGAGCAGGTTCCCTAGTGGGAACGCTTCTTAGGGCCCACCACGATATTACTTTTTTCTGCCCGGAGCGCGCTTCGCTCCTGCCCGAGTCGCGCCCCGTGTGCCCTCCCTACCGTCGTGCCCTCTCACGGCCCCTCACGGCCCCTTCGCGTTGCCCTTAGCGGCCCCTCTCACGGCCCCTCGCGCCGCCCTTACGGCCCCTCGCGCCGCCCTTACAGCCCCTCGCGCCGCCCTTACGGCTCCTTACGGCCCCTCGCGCCGCCCTTACGGCCCCTTACGGCCCCTCGCGCCGCCCGTCGGCCCTTCGCGCCGCCCTTACGGCCCCTTACGGCCCCTCGCGCCGCCCGTCGGCCCCTTGCGCCGCCCTTAGCGGCTCCTTACGGCCCCTCACGCCGCCCTTACGGCCCCTCGCGCGGCCCCTTCCGGCCCCTAGCGGCGCCCTTACGGCCCCTTCTAGCCCCTCGCGCCGCCCTTCGCGGCCCCTCGCGGCCTCTTTACGGCCCGTCGCCGCCCTAAGCGGCACCTCGCGCCACCCTTCATGGCCCCTTCGCCGCCCTTTGCGGCCTCTCGCGGCCCTGTCGCCGCCCCTAAAACAGCAGTTGAGCCGCCCCACAGCCTAGCCGCCGAGCCGCCCAGCAGCCGAGCCGCCTAGCCGAGCCGAGCCGCCCAGCAACCGAGCCGCCGAGCCGCCCAACAGCCATGCCGCCCAGCAGCCGAGCCGCCAAGCTGCCCAGCAGCCGAGCCGCCGAGCCGCCCAGCAGCCGAGCCGCCGAGCCGCCCTACCGTCGAACCGCTACTGTTCCTACCGGCGCGCCACGGCCCTACTTACTTGGACTGGTGAGATCACTCCCCGCTAGGCCACTGCAGTCATGGCTACCCCCAGTGTCCTTACCTTTGATGCTGAGGGTCGTGCTGTTGACTTTGATGACCTCCAGCTGTTCCTACAGTGCGATAGGGCAGACGGACTCTCCCTATTCGATCTCATCTCCGGTGCCTCTCCTGCCCCGCCTGCTACTGCTGACAGCACTGTTCGCTCACAGTGGGCCACACGCGATGCTGCTGCCCGTCTTGCTGTGCGTCGCCACTTACCGACCACTGAGCGTGCGCACTTTAGCAAGTACAAGAGTGCTAAGACCTTGTACGACGCTGTAGTTGCACGCTACTCTTCCCCTGCCACTACTGCGCTGAGCCGCCTCATGCTACCGTACCTCTTCCCTGACCTTGCTGCCTTTCCCACTGTCGCAGACCTCATTACGCACCTCCGCACTAGTGACACTCGCTACCGCGCTGCGCTTCCTGCTGAGTTCTGTGCCAAGAACCCCCCCCCCCCCATGTACATCACCCTCTACTACATAGTCACCCGGCTCCCTGACTCCCTTCGCTTAGTCAGGGACCACTTTCTCTCAGTTTTCCCCACCACACTCACCGTTGACCTCCTCGAGGAGCGCCTCCTAGCAGCAGAGAAGAGCATAGTTGCTGTAGGAGCCTCTCATGGTGACCCTCGCACCCCCGTCTTTGAGGGGTGTTCCCCTTCCCCCCTCTTGCCCTCTGTTGCTTCGGCTGCTGCGGCCGACCTCGTTGGTTTCGAGTCGGTCGGCGCTGCGTCTACCCCTAGCGGGAGACGCCGCACCGGCAAGGGCAAGGGGGGCAAGGGCGCTGGAGGGGCTGGCGGGGACGATGGAGGTGGTGGTGGAGGCAGTGGAGGGGGTGGGGGTGGTGGTGGGAGTGGTGGCGGGGGTGGAGGTGTCGGTGGCAGCAGTGGAGGCGGAGGAGGGGGCGGCGGTGGCGGAGGGAGCGGAGGCGGCGGAGGTGGCGGAGGCGGCGGAGGTGGCGGAGGCGGTGGCGGCAGCGGTGGAGCTGGTTGCGGCTCTGCGCAGAGGAGTGGGTCCGGTGGTGGTCCGCGCCAGCTGTAGCAGCGCAGTCGTGAGACCCTGTCCCCTCAGCAGCTTCGTGAGTGGTACGCTGCGCGTCAGCGCGGTGGGAGTACTAGTCCCTATACCTACGTCCTCCGTACCGGCGACCGCGCTGGTGAGTAGTGCGGGGGCCCGCACTCCACCCAGCGCTGCTTCGGCCGCCTGACGGACGCTTGGCGTCACCAGTTCCCTGACGCCACTAAGATCCCTCGCTGAGGAGAGCTGTCTAGGGCGGGGGTTGCTATCTTTGATCTTGATTATGATGCTATTCTTGCTGCCATGTATGCTGTGTCTGATAGTGTTGAGGGTGACTGTTACCTGTGTGTTCCGCCTGACCCGGGCATTGAGGCTGTTGCTCTAGGTGTTGGTGAGGCTGCTGCTCTAGGTGCTAGTGCGCCTGCTGCACCAGGTGCTGGTGAGTCTGCTCTCTCAGATACCACGTCGCCTCAGGCCTTACACACCTTCACCCTTGACTCGGGTGCTTCCCGCTCCTTCTTTCGAGACCGCACCACGCTTACGCCGCTTAGTCGGCCGGTTGCAGTCTCCCTGGCGGACCCCTCTGGGGGTCCTGTGCTTGCTAGCTTCTCCACTGTCTTACCGTGCCTGGCAGCCCCGTCTGGCACCCTGTCAGGTCTCTACCTCCCCTCGTTCTCTACGAACTTGGTGAGTGGTGACAAAATTAGAAGAAAGAAGAGGGTTTGACTAGCAAGAATGGGGATACAAATAGCAAACCCTAACAGGGTTGTACTCGCTATAGAGCACCCCACTACAGGCTAGATGAGAACATTCTGACAAGTGGAGCTGATCTACAGGATAGGGCGGTTGACCAGTTCACTCCTGCGAGTCAGCGGGTGACCCACTGCACGTGTGCTCGGACGGGCCGACACTTGGCCACGTTCACCCGTCGGCCGGGGTCGAGCCTGTACACACTTACTACTGAGTCTCCTCCGGCTGCTGAGTCTGGTCAGGTAGCTGCGTCGAGTTAGGTGTTTGCTGCAGCGTCCAGATCTGGTCCTGAGTCTGCTCCCTGCTCGTGTCGTCTCTTGTCCCACCAGACTCTCCTTTGGCACCACCTCCTTGGTCACCCCTCCCTGCCTCGTCTCCGAGGCATGGCCTCCCGTGTCCTTGTCTCTGGTCTCCCCCAGTCTCTCCCTCCCCTACCTCCGGGGCCTGCCCCTACCTGGGTCCCCTGCGTCGAGGGGCGACAGCGCGCCGCCCCTCACTCCTCCGAGTTTCCTCCGACAGATGCTCCGCTGCAGACTCTTCACATGGACGTGTGGGGCCCCGCTAACGTCCATGGCCAGGGTCACGAGCGTTACTTCCTGTTGGTGGTTGACGACCACTCCCGTTACACCACAGTCTTCCCCTTGCGCAGCAAGGGTGACGTCACTGAGGTGTTGTTCGACTGGATCCGCGCAGCTCGTCTCCAGCTCAGAGAGAGTTTCGGCTCGGACTTTCCTGTTCTGCGTTTGCACTCTGACAGAGGCAGAGAGTTTTCCTCTGCCCGTCTGGGAGCCTTCAGTCGTGCACAGGGCATCCGCCAGACCTTCACGCTTCCGGCCTCTCCACAGCAAAATGGGATTGCTGAGCGCCGCATTGGCATGGTCATGGACGTCGCCCGTACGTCCATGATCCATGCGGCTCCCCCCCATTTTCTGTGGCCGTTTGCGGTTGAGTACGCAGCGCATCAGCTCAACCTTCAGCCCCGGGTCTCCTTCCCAGAGACCTCCCGCACCTTGCTGTGGACCGGGAAGGTTGACGATGCGTCTGCGTTTCGGGTCTGGGGATCTCGGGCGTTTGTCCGCGACTTGTCTGCGGACAAGCTGTCCCCCCGTGCTGTTCCCTGCGTCTTCCTTGGCTTCCCCCCTGACGCGCCTGGGTGGCAGTTTTACCACCCCACCTCGCGTCATGTTCTGTCCTCCCATGACGTCACCTTTGACAAGTCGGTGCCTTACTACTGTCTCTTCCCTGAGAAAATGTGAACGAGAATGAATGAACTATGAAACAGTTGGGTACAAGTACTAACCCTAATTGGGTTGTACCCCATATGGGCTACCCCACTATAGCCTACACAAAAGCATAAGCTATAATGTTCTGACACACCCCCATAGGCAAAGTGGGGGAGAACAAGTGGTCACAAGACCAGTCAAGCAAAGCAAAGCAAAGCAAGCTCAGGGTGGATCACAAAGTCACCACACATTCCGAGCACAAGTTCAAGGCCACAAGGCCAGTTCACATGCATGAGAACATATATATAGAAAGCTAGACAAGCAAGAGCAGGTGTATATATATGTAACAGTACAAGCAAGGTCAAGAGGTGAGCAAGTGAGGCAAGACAGGCACAAGACCAAGCTGAGTACAGAAGCGCTGATGATCACAAGGCGCAAGTGCCTTGGTGAAGATATCAGCAGTGTTGGCCTCAGAGGCCACGTACGCAAGACGCAACTGACCACGCTGCTGCAGCTCACGAGCAAGGAAGTAGCGAAGAGCAATGTGCTTCGTTCTGTGCTCCAGTCTCTGCTCTCGACACAAGGCCAGCATGGCCTTGTTGTCTACGTACAGCACTGGAGGAGAACGAGGCGGCTCTCCGAGGTCAGTCAGCAGGTAGGTGAGCCAGCGAAGCTCCTGTGCAGCCATGGCCCCGGCGTAGATCTCAGCCTCACAACTGGAGCCGAGAATAGAAGACGAGCGGGTAGCCCGCCACGAAACAGAGCCGGAACCAAGGCTGAAGGTGTAACCCTGTGACGACCGCTGCGTAGCCTGGTCGTCTGCCCAAGAAGCGTCCGCGTGCCCAGTGAGGACCACTGGACTCCGCCCTCCAAGCACTAGCCCCATGCCCGACGTACTGCACAAGTAGCGCAACACCCTCTTCGCTGCAGCCATGTGCTCTGGTCTGTGTCTCCCAGGAGCAACATAGTGTGCAAGAATGCTAAGAGGGTATGCAAGGTCAGGTCGTGTGCAGGTCATCAGGTACATGAGGCAGCCAACAAGCTCTGGGTACGGGCCACTCGACTCTACGGACTCATCCGAAGGCAGAGCTGAGAGCGAGTGGCGAGTAGACAGAGGAGTGGCCTGAGGTGAGGAGTACGTGAAGCCGAAGCGCTGAAGGACCTGCTGCACCATGTGTGACTGAGTCAGGGTAATGGTGCGGCGTGCTCTATCCCGGGTGATCTAAAAGCCAAGGTAGCTGCGCAGTTCACCCAGGTCTGTGCACGTGTGTCTCTTCTGCAGCCTCGACTTCACGTAGGCGAGTCCAGCAGTGTCAGCTGTGGCAAAGACCAAGTCGTCGACGTACACGAGGATGTAGAACGGCGGCAGAGAGGTGTCGGTGCGTAGAAACAGCGACGGGTCAGCAGTAGAGGGAGCAAACCCAAGAGCCGCAAGTGTAGTCCTCAGTGTGTCGTGCCACTCACGCGGTGCCTGGCGGAGACCGTAGACTGGCCGTCGGAGGCTCCACTGGGTGCCAGGAGGGAAAGTCCCAGTGAAGCTAGGTGGACGGCGCAACCAGATCTCCTCGTGCAGGCTACCCTGCAGGAAAGCAGTGCTGAAGTCAAGAGAGTGAAGCTCGTAGTCACGCTGAGTGGCTACGTGTAGCAGCACCCGAAGAGTGGTCATCTTCGGGGTGGGAGAGAAGGTCTGAAAGTAGTCAACTCCCTGCCGCTGACTGAAGCCACGAGCCACGTACCGCGCCTTGAAGACAGGTGGAGAGCTCGGCGGCCGCTTCACCCTGAAGATCCACATGCCACTGACGATGTTCGCCCCAGGAGGGGGAACCGCGTCAACATAGGTGCCTGTGGACTTCCAGGAAGCCATCTCTGCATCCATAGCTGCCTGCCACTGAGAGGAGTAGGGACCCTCTACGGCCTCCGCGGAGTTGGGATGTCTAGTGCATCCGGGTCTCCCTCAGGGGTAAGCTGTAAGGACGCGAGATGAGGTGAAGCAGCAGCCAGACACTGGAACTCCTCCTGCCTGTCCTCAAGGACGTCCGTGCAAAGAGCACACTCACCCCCGACGGACGGAGGACAGACAGACGCAGACTCAGCAACAAGACTAGCAGCGTAGTCTAGACGACAGCGAGCAGCAAAGTCGACGAGCTCAGCAACAAGAGCAGACGCAGCAGTGGACTCAAAGGAGGGGTCAGTGACGACAGTAGCAAGGAGACGCGTGATAGTAGGACTGGCAGCACGAAGAGAGTCTTACTCAGGGTCGGCAAGCACAGGAAGAGAGGACTCAGGAGGAGAGGGCAAGGGGGCACGCAGAGGAGCAGTGGACGGACGCAGAGAAATCCGGTGCGTGCCAAGGACAGGAGGAGGACGCTGACGCGAACTGCGACCACTAGTGCGAGCAGCACGAACAGGCGATGCAGGACGAGACGCAGGCTCACGACGCTCAGCAAGACCTCAAGTAGGACCAGTGTACGGAGAAGGAGAAGGCAGTGGGGAGGCCGGCGGTAACTATGACTGCGAGTGGACAGGTGGTGGACACTCTAAGGGAGGAGGAAGACCAAGAACCTGCTGAAGGAGCGGAACAAAGTACGGCCGAGGCCGCGCGGCGACTACAGACACAGCAGGGACAGCACCAGCGCCCCCAGCGGCAGCACCAGCGTCAACAGCACCTCCAGCTCCAGTACCTCCAGCAGCACCAGCAGCACCCGCAGCAGGACCGCCGCCGGGACTGACAGTAGTAGCCTCAGCGCCAACACCTTCAGTAGCTCCGACTCCAGTAGCACTCGCAGGACTAGCACCTCCGAGACCGGTGGCACCAGCACCCTCAGCAGCCGAAGAAGCACCAGCTCCAGTAGTACGCCTCCAGCGCCGGGCAAACCACTCGCGCAGCTCCTGTGTAGAGAGTGGCTCTCGCCAAGACGAAGCACCCGGAGAACGAGCAGGCCCAGCACCGCCAGACGCCACACGAGCAGGTCCAGCGGCCGCGGGCTCCGCACCCCCAGGCTCAGTAGCTCCAGACTCAGCACCTCCAGGCTCAGCAGCTCCAGACGCAGCACCCCCAGGCGAAGGACCCCCAGGCTCAGCACCCCCAGTCGTAGCACCCCCAGGCTCAGCACCCCCAGTCGTAGCACCCCCAGGCTCAGCACCCCCAGGCTCAGCACCCCCAGTCGCAGCACCCCCAGACGCACCACCCCCAGGCTCAGCACCCACGCGCGCAGCA